AGACAGGAAATTAATCTTAGTATTGCATGGGATATTTAATGTAACCATACACCCAAATTTCACACTCCTGGAGAAAACATCCCAAGAACGTTCCGTTACTCTCAGAATAAAATCCAAATTTCTTATTTAGCCAGAGGGAATCTTTCCACTCTCAGGGAATGAAAATGTTTCTCCTTCAACTCAAGCACAATTCCTCCTTCTGTCTTTTGGACCCTAATTCCTTGTCTTCTCCAAGGCCCTGGTTTATAAGTGCATTCTTAGCTTCAAACTCATTCTCTTCAGTGGATTTTTCCTCTAAATCTTATAAATATGTCTTTTTCTGCTAAAGGCAAACAAGCAAAACAAAATTAAGCCAAATCAACCAGCTAACCAAATGATGACAATAAGCAGTAGCAACAATTGAATACCCTATGTTGACTCAGACTTTCTCTGAGACCCTAGAAAAGCTTTAGGATTATAGAATGTGCAACTAATTATGCCTTGCTAGTTTGGGTCTGTTTAACAGCCAATTACTAAAGTACTGAAGTGTAACATAGAAGAGTAGTTTCCTTGTAGTGGGAACATATGAGGGATATAATGATTTGATAAAAAGTCAAGTAATTGGATATTGAAATTCTTTGTTTTGGGGTAGTGGAATTTAGTGAATAAAAGGATCTATCTAGAATCCTATATAACAAAAGGCTAATATGAAAATATTCCCCTTGACCAGGAGTTCAACCTGGAGTTTGACTAGGGGGCGGGGCCAAGTGGCCAACACCGCCCGCCCCACCATGGTCCTCTCCCCCTCTGCCGGCCCATCCTGATCAGCCCTGATCGGGGTGGGCCGGCCAGACCCCACCCATGCACAAATTTGTACAACAGGCCTCTAGTATTTAGATAAGAGCAGATTAAAGTTTTGAAAATGAATTTATAGAAATGAATTTAAATGAATGTATTATCAGATTAGATTGCCCACGGGAAACAAAATATAAAATGATGTAGTTTAGAAAGAAGACCTTGACCTTTCATAGGGGCTCCAACCTATCTAGAAAACCATTCAGGTTCACACTTAGGGAAATGGGAAAAAATCTTTAAGTCTTCCCAGGGGGTTTTTGTATTCATGATTACTTTATAGGGCATTGCTGCCTGGCATGGTCTTGATGTGATAAAAATTAAGCAAAGAAATTGCTAAAGCAAAGAAATACTTTTATGCTTTAGAATTTCCTTTATGCCCTAAAAATTATATTTTACTAAAGACCCAGTGCACGAATTTGTGCATGGGTGGGGTCCCTTGGCCTAGCTGGTGATTAGGGCTGATTGAGGGCTGTCTCGCCCAGACCCGATCGATCGGGGTGATCAGGGGGAGAGGGGAGGGGAGGCTGGCTGGGGCAGGATTGCAGGAGGCTTCAGTGCATGTCCAGCCCTCTCACACAGTCCTGATCGGCTGGACCCCAGCAACAAGCTAACCTACCTGTCAGAGCATCTGCCCCCTGGTGGTCCGTGCACATCATAGCGACTGGTCAAGGGGTCAGACACTTAGCATATTGTGCTTTTATTATACAGGATATTTTTCTGAATAATTTCAGAGTCATTTGAATAGTTTTGATTTCTCAAATTTCCAACAGCTTTAAAAATGTAATAAATTTCTAGAACTAAATCATTAAAATTATTTCACTGAAGATTCCCCTCGAGTTTTTTCTCAGTTTAAAAATGTATACTAATCAGGAGCTTTGGCTGATGTTGAAAGTTACGTATTTTAGAGGTTAAGTGTTGTGTGACATTTACATTCCTTCTATTTCTACGCTGTTTGTGACTGTGGATTTGTGAGTTAGACCTGCTTTGTCAGGTAGGCTTCCCTTCTTGCTCTTCTCACCTCACTCAACCTTCTATTCTACTCTCCATTCTTACAAACTAGCTCTGTAGTAAAGAACTTCCTGCATCTTTAGGGCTATTGTTTTATTTTCCTTTTCTACTCATTAGTCACAACTCATTTTTTGCTCATTCCTTTTTCTTTGCTTTCAGGCACTGGCGGGGGTAGGATTTATTATTCTCATCTCTAAGGAGGTCACATGGTTATTAATGAAAAGTTTTATAGTTATTTACTGCTTTTTCTTTCTGTATCTTACTCGTATTTATGTCCAATAGAACTCCTGACATAAAGTGGATACTCAGTAAATTTTGTTGAATTTTGCTGAATATTGATTGCATGCATGTCACCTCTAAATTCAGAGAGGGTGGAGAAGGTATATATCTTTGTATTTTTGGAGCACTGTCTAAAAGAACAATGATTCCTAACTCCAACATATATTGTTCTCTATTAAAAAGACTCAAATAAAATAAAGAAAACAAATAGCATGAACAAGTTATTAAAAAATGACCAATAAAATTATAAGAAGACATTGTATCTCACTCACCATCAGAGATGTGCAAATTACATAGATTTATTTTTTTTGTCAAACTTGCAGAAATAAGAAGATTAATACCCAGACTAGTAGTGAGAGTTTGCCAGCATGTCTATTTCCACATATTAGTGTTGGATTAGGTACATTGTAGTGTTCTGCTGACAGGAATGTAGACTTGGGAGAAGTTTCTATACAAAGGCCTATTTGTGTGAGACTAATAGCCACAGCCTTGAGTTTGAGGAGACCCTCTCCTGTAGTGTCAGTGAGGTCTAGGAAAGCTCTCCTGCTTTTGAAAAAGGACATCTGATCAAACTGTTTCCAACTGCTGAGTAATCTGGCCTATCCTACCTATCTCCAATAGCATTCTCTGAGTCCATATTTTTCTCACTCTGGTAAGTTTTCAATGTTTTTCAGATAACCATAATTATATAAGGAGTGAATTGATGCCTTTGTAATGGTAACACCATGGCTGAAATTTCTTTTTGTGGATACCCTTAATTCACCTAAAACCCTTTTAATTGTTCAAGAATTCACACATTTCAATGGTAAAGAAAGGACCTTTTATCTTCATAGAGAGTAACCATTGAAGTCTTAGATTCCTTGTGTTTCTAAAGAAGGAAAAATGAGATTATAAGAGATATGTATTTATTCTATGATGTTGGCCATATTTCATAAGTTATTTAATAATTAATTTTATTGCTCTTAAAATCTAAATTTATTTTAGAAATGCAGTTTTCACACCTCTATATACAGGTTCATTCTTTAATTTAGATTGTAATCTATACCCAATTCAAACCTATGGAGCCTGAACTAACATAAGTGAAATAAAATAATTGTAGGACACTTTTACTTAGCAATATTTTGTTCTTTGACTTTTTCCCCTTCTCCTGGATTTTACTACTTACTAGAAGAGTATTTATTTTCTTTTCTGGATTGACAGTGTAAATACTTTTAAGATTTTAATTGAATGAGAGATATGAACTCTATTTTTTCCTATATGTTATATGTACATTATTTTCAGTCTTGTTTCTAATTAAATAAATACATATTTGCTATTTTAGATACTACTATTCAGATATTTACTATTTATTTGAATTTGTCTGAAGTAGATATTACTTTTGTATAATATATGAAAAATGAGTTTGTTGATAAATACATATTACAAATAAGATTTTGTCAACACTTAAAGGACAAATATTTGAACAACTAAAACATTGGTATGAAAAAAATGCTGTGATTACTTTGAACATATAGTATTCCTAGAGATTCATTAAAATTAATCCAAGCAAACTCTAATATGAACACATTAGACATTGAATATATTTGAAAACAAAAGACATTCATTTATTGAATTCTGAAGTTCTCTCTTTCTAGCATTTCAGGATAAGTGGCATCATTATCTTATTAGTCTGGATTAATAAATTTCTGTGCACATGTTCATTTTTAATGTAATCTGCTCAATATATATATATGTAACATTTAATTTAAAAGTCAATTCTACAGATAATCTCTTTTTTTCTCTCTCAGGGATAGGTCATCATTAAGAACTATTAATGTAACTGAAATATCATTAGAGTTTTCAGATTTGGACTATAATGTTGAATATAACGCATATGTAACAGCTAGCACCAGATTTGGTGATGGAAAAAAAAGAAGCAATATTATTAACTTTCGAACACCTGAGGGAGGTGAGTTCTTATCCTTGTAGACCACGTAAAAGAATATCCTACCTATACAACATAAGTGTTAATTATAAATATGTATTATTAAGCCTAATATTTATCATTGGTTGGATGCAAAATTGCTTTTTGGTCACTTTCTAGCTGTGTGATAATGGAAAAGTTAGCTGATCTCTCTGTGCCTCAGTTTCCTATCTGTATTATGGAAACAATATAGTACCTACTTCACAAGGTTCTATGAGGATTTAATGAATCTATATTTGTAAATGCACTCAGAACAGAACTGGACACTTAGTAAACATTTTATGTGTTTGTTAAATGAGACAAAATAAAATGCACAAAGTCAGCTCTCTACCATTATCCTCTATTATTCGATTTAAAAATTCTAAGTTAGAATTTCATATTACATATTCTATATTGGAAACTCGTTATAATGTTGTTTTTCAATCCAGGGCAGTAGGCATGCTTCAGAGCTAAGATAGTGTTTTATGTTTAAGAATCAGTCTTTTCCTCTGCTTGGATATTGCTATAGTGTTAGAGGGATTGCCCATTGAGCCTTACGGATTTCATTTCTGACTTGTAATTAGATGATATTCCAATTTAAGTTGTTTTTTTTTGAAAAACAGTTATCAATTATCAAAGGCAAGTAAAATTTAGAACATTTCAGACATTATTTGGAGCCACAAGTTCAGTTTTCTGTTCAATTGCTTTTTTTATAGCACCGAGTGATCCCCCAAAAGATGTTCATTATGCAAATATCAGTTCTTCATCAATAATTCTCTTTTGGAAGCCACCTTCAAAACCTAATGGGGTTATACAATATTATTCTGTTTATTACAGAAATACTTCAGGTACTTTTGTGCAGGTAAGACCTGAGTTTTCTCCTAGTTCTTTATTTACATCCTTCAATTGATGATGGTATAGAGTCGGCATGGTAGAAAAAATAATTTATCTTACATTGATAATTATCTATAGTCATTTTATAAAGCTCCCAATGACAGAAAAATGTGGTGGAGAAATGTCAGATATATTTTAATCTCTCTATGTATGTGTACACACACACACATTTCTATATTAGCTTCAAAGGTATTATCAACAATGAAGCTGCCACCTATTTAAAACTCTGTATAAAAATATGGCCCAAATTCCACTCCTCTAAGAAGTGTTCTCTAAAGAGTTGATGGTTTCATTTACCCTCAATTATTTCCCAACTAAGACAAATTTTCTTTTGTTTGTATACAATATAAATAGCTCTCGTGTTTGGATATGTTTGTGTGTTTTTTATTTTTAAAAACTGTTTTCAATTGTTAGCTGGAGTAGTAATAACTATTATTACTATTATCCGATATAATGAAAACTAGAAATGTGGTTAACTTGAGGTATGCAAGGTACTAGACTCACACACTTTGCATATGGACACTTTCTAAGATATGAATGATAATATGAAAATAGCTAAAATGCAATTCATGTAGAAAATATTTTTTCAGCAGAATTTATCTTTCTAAACTAAATATTTTACAGAACTAATATGTATTAAAAGAATAAAATTGGACTGTGACTGGATCAGGATTGAGGAAAGATGGGCTATGATATGGAAAACACTCATTTAGAAAATATCCTGCCATTTACTGATAGACACTATGGACTGCACGTTGGTTGTGACTCTGGCCATTCCTATTTCTCTGTATCATTTTGAGCAGGAGAAGAGAGATAAGTCTTAGACATTCCAGGTTGCCTGATCCCATTTGTGACTGGCAACCCAGGCTTAGTTACTAGAGTGAGTCCTATGAGCAGCAATCTCTGGGCCTACAGTATGACTTGCTGCAGTGCATCTGTAGTAACGTTTACGCTAATGAATGGGGTCAGAGCAGAACTTTGCAAGCTGTCTCAGCACTAACCCAGCAGTGAGTAAAAGAAAGTCCAGAGGTTGGTTTGGTTTTACATTCCGTTCTAGGCCTGCTAAGAAAGGAGTAAGAGGGAGGATCCCTCTTTTTGCTATACCTCTTTGTTCTGCTCTATTTGGGGAAGAGATATGGGATTAGTATATAATTTATTAATATTTTCTAACTATAATGTTGTTTATACATTTAGCAATGTCATTATGTCACAGAGATGATTGGAACTGCAGATTTTTCTTTTTTCATAAATTGCCAAAAATTTGCTAAGTGGTGTCAATAATTCTGAATCTTACCAAAGCTTTTGCTTGTGTACAATTTACTTGATGGCTTATTCATGATTTTAATTTGGTTCTCTTTGTCCGTGTCTAAATAATCAAGAGTAAACATCTAACTCTGGTTTCAACATGATCTTCCGAGCCTCCTTATCCAAACCTGGGTATATAAAACAATCTCATTTGCAATTTATCTATCTTAGACAATGTAATATTTTATTAAATAATCTTGAGAATGCTTTTAAGTTTGACAGCTGCAAGAGGGCAAAAGCTAATGATGTTAAACATTTCACATATTTTTGAAGTTCATCTGTGCTTTAATTTCTTCCTACAGTTAATGTTAAATATAGCATCAAAATCTTCACGCCCTAATTTTCTATTTTGGATTGGCAGAATAGAAGAAATCCTCAAAGTCAAAATTATGTAATGGAATAAGTGTATAACTTATTTTCTTCCCCATGCTTTTCCTTCTCCTTCCCGCCGAGATTTGTAGAATTATCTCATGCATAGCACGTCATATTCTGATTCCCAGTCCTGGTATCTCATACTTGTCTTAGGCTCCCTTATGCTGTAACAAACAACCTGAAGAAAAGGGTCATGTGACACTTATCTTCCCATCTCCCAAAGTCCTCTGTACTGTATCATGCATAGGTTTAATACTCAATAAATAGTTTAATTGAGCCTGGCTGGTGTAGCTCAGTAGTTGAACATCTACGCAGGAACCAAGAATTCACAGGGTGGATTCCCAGTCAGGGCACATGCCCGGGTTTCAGCCTGGATCTCCAGTTAGGGGGCGTGCAGGAAGCAGCTGATTGATGATGTTCCGCTCTCATGGATGTTTCTACACTGAGTGGCCAGATTATTATGACCACCCCATCAGTACTTCATTGACACTTCCAAAAATACGGAATATTGAAAACTTCCTAAGCAAATACTCTCAAGGTTTTATTATTATTATTTGCATAACTAATTCACTTCATTGTACTGATGGGGTGGTCATAATAATCTGGCCACTCAGTGTAACTCTCTATCCATCTCCCTTCCTCTTTCTCTAAAAATCAATAAAAACATATTTTATTAAAAAAAACATCTTCCATCCCTGTCTATTCCCTTATAAAATATATTTTTAATTGAAAGGACATAAATTATTTTAATAGACCAACATTATTGTCAGTACTTAGTGATACTTTGGAGCACTTGAGTTTGTAGTGATCTTTCCTTCTTATTCTGGGGAAGTTAATCGCTCTACTACTACTTGACAATCCCCATTCTGCTCTCAATTGTTGCAAATTGTGTTTTATAAAGTGTATTAATGCTTCTGCGCTTTAATTTCTACCCACTCATGGCATGTCTCCTCAGTATGCCTGACTTTGTCTTAGTATATTGTAAAGTGCAATATAAATACTAGGTGATTAATCAAATTTGAAAAGTTTTTGCTAAATACCTTCTGACTATATTTCTATACACAAAAGAGTAAACCTTAATTAGATCATTTGAATCACAAGATTTTTTCCCAAAAATAAATAAAGGAATGAAATAATTTAGATAATTGATTTAATTCTAAATTTGTTATATCTTTACATGTCTATGCATGTCTATGCACACTCAGTATAAATAACTTCTGGCTGATTCAAAATAATTTGTGACTTAATTGTCATCAAGGTCATATAATAGGTAATCAGAATAAATTCTATTATAAAGAAAAATTAAAAGTTACACCAAAAAACTATGTTAACATTTTACATGGTACTTTATATAAGCTTGTTATTCTATGTGTGAAGTAGATTTGTTGGAAAATATTGAAATTCACAAATCATATTTTGTGTGAGATTGTTACATTAATTTAATTTGTCTGCTCCTAAATAAATCACCACAAAATTGTAATAGATCTTCTATTATACTCATTCTTCTCTTCTTCCCCAAATATTGGCAAAGGAACCTCAAAAACTTGCTGAATTTAATTTGTTGATATGGTGTAAAATCATCCTAACTACGAATTTTAGTCAAATTGATTATTCAATGTTATTAAGTTAAATTACCTAATTGCCATTTGTTGTTTTTTGTTATGTGCGGACATGGTTTTAATTGCTTAATGTGCTTCATATCATCTAATCCCTAAAGCTCTCTGTGAAGTAGAAATGGTTATTCCCATTTTATAGTTGAGGAAGAAGGCGCTGTGAGCTTAGATGATGTTCCCAGAGCTATCCTGCCAGAATGAAGACAGGTTTATAGAACTCTATGTAAGGGCTTTGTGTAGATTGGAATGATTTAGATTTCTCTATGTAGATGAACATATTACAAATTGATTCATACTAATTGCCAAATGTTTTTTTTGTTAAAAGTCTGTTTTCCTCTATTTTAAAATTTATTTTCTTTGTGTGTTTTGTGTTTAATATTTGCTCGAGAGAAAATGATCGTATAAATTTCCCAATAATTTAAACAATGCCTTGGGACCAATATAACTAGGAGTCAGGCCAGAAATTTATAAAATTTCTTACTCTGCATATAAGAGAGTGTATCTAACTGCCCTCCTCTCCTCCCCAGGATTATAGAGAACAAGAAGACTCATTAAAGATGAATAATTATATTTAGTTAATAGAAAGAGATGAATACTTTCATAATTCCTTCTTCTTTAATAGGAAGGAAAAATTAAAAATATATTATACTCTCAAATTTTAAAATATATCATTAACATTTTGAAAAATACTTGAATGTTTCATAAGAAAGCTAACACTGTCAGCAAAGATGTAGCATTTTTCAGTTGGTCATTGGACCTTCTTCATTGCTAAGAGTTTTGTTCTCTTTGCTGCTCTATATATTGATTTTTTAATAAAAACTGCTACCATAGATTCCTCTTTTAGTACAAACATATTTCCAGTTTAATTATTGCAATAAAATGTCCTATGTTAATTTTCCTCAAAGATTAACATATTAAAATAATGAGGCAACCAATTCATGAATAATTATTTTGAAATGTTCATGTATACTAAAACTATATTCTGAACAATTAAAACAATATGTTTATTTTTCAGAATTTTACACTCCATGAAGTCACCAATGACTTTGACAATATGACCGTATCTGCAATAATAGATAAACTGGCAATATTCAGCTACTATACATTTTGGGTAACAGCAAGTACTTCAGTTGGAAATGGGAATAAAAGCAGTGACATAGTTCAAGTATACACAGATCAAGACAGTATGTAAATGAAAAGTATTTATTAATATTTAATAGGATTAACTTAAAACTTTATAATTATTTCACAACCTTCTATTTGTATGTATTTGTAGTAAGACCTACATTTTATTTAGGCACATTTAACTAGTCATTATAAAAGTTTGAAAATGCATTTAACATAGCTATAAAACTATTACAATAATAATAGCCTTTCTCTTCATATAAACTGCTACCATTTATTCATGAAAATTGTGTTGCTGTTATTGCTTCAAAGGATGTCACAGCCATTCGGTTTGGCCATGAAAAACCGTTGTACACATGGATGGGTTTTCTAATAGCTGCTATGCTTACCCATTTGCTTTAGGAAATACACTTTTTTCTCTAGCAGCTATTTCATTTCAGTCTTTTAATCCACATATGACTCTATGCAGCATCTTTGTTTGTTTTGTATTTGTGACTAATATGCCCAGAATAACTTTTTAACCCCAGAAGTTTCTTGTATGCGGCTTCTGCAGAATCTTGTTTGTGCTAACTATAATGACTGAAACTATCAATGTTTTTTAGGTTTCAGCTTTGAGAATATGATACATGGATCATTGCCTATTTCTTCTTATGGTTGTAACTTTTATTCATTTTAATATTATTTTACATTAGTTTCAGGTTTGCAGCATAGTGGTTAGACAATCATATACTTTACAAAGTATTCTTCCTGATATTTCCAGTACCCATCTGGCACTATACATAGTGATTATAATATTATTGACTATATTCCCTATGTTGTACTTTACATCCCTGTGACTATTTTGTAACTACCAACTTGTATTTGCTAATCCCTTCAACTGGTCCCCCAATCCCACCTTGTCCACTTTTATTTAAAGACTAGTCTCATATTGAGAAATGGTATTGACCTCTACTTCTGAGAGTAAAATTCCATGTTTATCATCTGAAGATTATAAGTTGACAGACTATATATACGAGGAGTGAATGCTTTCCTTGTTGGAACAATCTTTAAATAGTTCACAAGTTAACCAGCAGAATAAGATATGGTAAAATATATGGAGATATTTGTTTACATAGACTTTAACAAAAGTGTTTTAATGCAATATGTGGTTAATATTATTTCAGGCATTTTTTAGAAACAAAAATATTTTATAGCTAATTACATTATTGCAATAAAATACACACGCATACATGCATATCTACACACTCATAATCTCCATATTGTAAGAAAGAAAAGCCAAGAGAATATTATAGAAAAATAATTCTCACACATAATAGATGTGTGAGATGACAGGACTTATTTTGAATGATTTTTAATATTATTTAGAAGATATTTTATAATAGGTGATATTTACTGTATCTGCATTTAAACAATTTAAGAACTGATGATGCAATAGATGCCATTTTAACAATATCCTCAGTTTGTGAATTTAGTTAACATTATTTAGGGTGACTGATAATTTTTATATTTTGCACACTACCTGTCATAGTACCTGAAGGGCCTGTTGGAAACCTGACTTATGAGTCCATTTCGTCAACTGCAATAAATGTAAGCTGGGGCCCACCACCTCAACCCAACGGTCTAGTCTTCTACTATGTCTCTCTGAGCTTACAGCAGACTCCTCGCCACGTAAGACCACCTCTAGTTACATATGAGACAAGCATGTATTTTGATAATCTGGAAAAATACACTGATTATATATTAAAAATCACTCCATCAACCGAAAAGGGATTTTCTGATACCTATACTGCCCAGCTACACATCAAAACTGAAGAAGATGGTAGGCTGGATCCTTTTATTGTCTATTAAGTAGATTGTGTTTTTTTTTTTTAATTTATATTTCTTTCTGACAGAAAACATTATTTTTATAATTATATAGATTATTTATTCTCAAGTAACTAGCCTTTCGATAAACACAATAAGCTATAAGTTTCTTAAAATTTAAATAATTAGATGCTAATAAAATGAAGTCCCATTATTATTAAAGCCTTTTTAAAATGCTAATTCACTTTGGTTTCATTTAATATTCTTTTTTTCTTTTATAGTCCCAGAAACTTCACCAATAATCAACACTTTTAAAAACCTTTCCTCTACCTCAGTTCTCTTATCATGGGATCCCCCAGTAAAACCAAATGGTGCCATAATAAGTTATGATTTAACTTTACAAGGACCAAATGAAAGCTATTCTTTCATTACTTCTGATAACTATATAATATTGGAAGAGCTCTCACCATTTACACTATATAGTATTTTTGCTGCTGCAAGAACTGTAAAGGGACTCGGTCCTTCCAGTGTTCTTTTCTTTTACACAGACGAGTCAGGTAAGCCGGAATGCCTATTTCTTCCAATGCTTCACTGTTGCAGCACTTGCTCTCTCTTTTGAAAGGAACCGCATGGAAATGAGAGGATATTTGATTGTCTATTTGTAACAGGTTTACAACTATTCATCTACTTCGCTTAACTTTTATTCTTTTTTCTTCTTTAATTCGGGCTTCAGAACGAAGTGTTCTGTTTAAAGCTGCTTTGGAACTACTGGGTTCCAAAAACATCATTGTTTATGCTATTGGTTTCTGAAATTAAAATATGATCATTTTGTAAGTCTTTCTTAACTAGTGTCTTCAGGAAGCTACAGTCACAATGATATTTTCATGTTAAAAATCACGAATATAAGTTTTATAATGTGTTTTCCTACAGTGCCTTTAGCACCTCCTCAAAATTTGACTTTAATCAACTACACTTCAGATTCTGTGTGGCTGCAATGGAGCCCGAGTCCTGTGCCAGGCGGTATTGTTAAAGTATATAGTTTTAAAATTCATGAACATGAAACTGATACTATATTTTATAAGGTAGGTTGATTATGACAGTATATTTTTATTTAAAAAATTCAGAACGTGAATGAAACTTTTGGCATGCAGGGAGAAAATGGATTGCTTTAAACAAAACAAGGGCCATCTTTCAAGAAACATTTTTAGTTCCCTGCAATTGAAGGATGCTTACGGAAAACACAGAAAATACTTGCCAAATATGGAAACTGAAGAGTTCATAGAATGATTTACTTAGAATTTCTAACTTCTACACGTCTGCATTTTAAGAAATAATTGCACCATTTTGTGAGTGCTGGAAAGTACATAGTAAAATATTTTTCAGACTAAAAACTGTTATTATCTTAAATGTAATATATTTCTATTTGTTGTTAGAATGAAGTGCCAAGTTAATGGTTTTAACCTTTTCTGAAAAGTGTTTTTACTGGACTTCTGGTAATCTTCCCTGATAGCATATAATCCCACACTAATTGGTATTTTAAGATGTATCATTATCTTTTACTTGCAACACTAATTAGTTTGCAGCACTAAACACCCTTTCCCTCCTCCATTTTTAGGTCTCAGAATCAATGAAAACTAGCCAAAGAACTGATGTAACAAAAGGACTGAAATATACTTCTATGATTTCTAGCATTTAATTGCCAAAATATGTTATAATACATGACATTTATTTTTTTAAAGTGTTCTTTTTTCCCAAAGGCAAATTGAAGCACTGGTATGCTCTTATTTAGTTATAGCAAGAAGAGTACAAAAAATCTGCAGTAAACATTGTTGTTATATGCATTTCAATTTATTGCTGATGGTAAATCATTTTTATAGTGTATGTAGCTTACAAAGGAAATAGTAAAAATCAAAATCTGTGATTAAGATTATATCATAAGAAACAAATAACTTTCTGGAAATCAATGTATTACTTCAAAATCTGAAAGGCTCAGTAGAATTTGAATTATATTTAGTACTCCATAAATGTGGACTCTCTTTCCCAACAGTGTGAAATTATATTAATGACCTAAAGTCTCTAGCCCTCTAATATCTATCTCTTTTCTAATCTTAACATTTTCCAACTTTTAATTTGCTTTGGCTATAGGGGTCAGTGGCAAATAGATATTAAAAGGGAAAAATGAATCATTTTCTTAATGTGATCTTGTTTGTGGGATAATGGGTATGTGTGTTAGAGCATGGGTGTCATTGTGTGATCTTTTCTTCTCAGAACAGTGATCTCCAGCATCGACGCCATTACTTTTAAGAGTTACTGCTCTGCGTTAGACAAGTTGTTTAACCTCTTATGACTCAGTTTCTTTAAGTGCCAAATGGGAGTTATAAAGATACATACCTTAAAAAGTGAGGGTTAGAAGGAAGAATCTACAAAAAGCACTTAGGACTATCCCTGGCATGTGATAAGTGTGTTAGCTATTATTGTTATTATACATAGTGATAAAAAGAACAAAATATCCATCCAGCAATATAATAGCCCTAAGTATAACATGACATTATGTCATAATCTTACTATGAAAATAAGTTGTATTCTAAGATTTTTAGACATTCTGTTCTCTCAATATGAATACTATCATTAACATTCCACTGGCAGCAAAATACAATCTTTATACCATAAAGTATTGATTATATAATTTTGGGGTGGAGAACATAGTTTTTCTTTAAAATCTACTACTCTTAGCTCCTCTTTTTACATCTATTTTCTCTTCCATCAATTCTCACGATCTTGTTTTCTTTCACTGTACTCTCATGCCACCTTTTTCTTTTCTTGACATCTAATTTACTGTATCTAGTTCCCTCCCACTGTTTTGTTTTCTCTATATTCCTATTTTTCTTTCTATGTTTTCATCCACCCCTATGCCACAACAGTATCAGTTTCTATTATTTATTTTTATTTTTTCGAGTTATATGTGGGTTCATGGAGGTAGAGTACTCCAGAGCCACTCCAAATGTCTGCCATGCCAGTCACTCCAGAGTGGTTCCCAAGGAGATCAAGAAGATCCGGGTCTGCAGATAACTCAGGCCGGTCCTGTATCCTGAAATCGTTTATTCAGTGAAAAGTTCTATTAAAAGATGTTCAGCAATACTCCTCACTTAGGTCTTCTTACTGTTATTCTTGTGTCAACCTGTTTACTATCCACTCTCACACTTTCATTGTCAACTCTTGAGTTCAGGCACTTCTCTGGGTACCAGCCTTTCTAACCAAAATCAAAATATACCTACACTGTGTTTAATTTTTTCTTAGTAGCAATTGTTTGTAGATTTCTCTAATTAATATTAAAATTCCTTGATGACAGGGGCCATGCCTTATATGTTCTTTAATATGCTGGTTATCTGACAGTATGCTTTGTAAATAGTAAGTGTGAAAAAATGAAAGGAAATAGTGTAATGTAGTGAGTTCAAGGACTTGCCGGAGATTAATTTAAAATATGATTCTAAGTACCCAAGAGTTAGTAATCTTGCTAAATTTCTGTTACTGAAATATTTAATAAATAAGTCAAAGTGTTTTATATTTTGGGTCAGATATAATGCAATATTCTTAAAGTTATACCACAAAGGATATTGTCTTATTCTTTATTTAACTGCTCTCTTGGTTAGGATAATTATCTTTGAATGAAAATTTCATACTCAATGGTAAAATTTTCTATGAGAAAACATTTTCTTTCTTGGGTGCCTGTGCTGTTTTCTTTCTTATCTCTTTTTCCTAAAGTTCTGTAAAATAGGAAATGTAGGAGTTGTCTAGGAAAACTCATAATATAAGCTTCATAGGAGCAGATATTTGTTTATTCACTGCTGTATTCCCTTGCTTAGCATATAGTAGATGATGAATTAATTTACTTAAACAGAATATTATTGGGTATTTAAAATGAATTTAGATGAATTCAAGAAAAATCAAGTATCTCTGACCACCTGTAAAATGGATTTAAATTGAGGACTTTAATTTTGGTATATTTAAAGAAAGTAATTAGGATGTAATTCCAAGTAAGAATCTGGGAGGCAAAATGAAAACAAAATAATCTAGTCTTTTAAGAAATGTCAATAATGAGATTCTTCATGCTGAATGTCCAGTTTATCCTTGCATTATCAGCTGTGCACTCCCTGCGCCACAAAAACATTTAATATTTTCTCTTTTAATTAAAATGTCCATGCTTATTAAATCATAGGTTAAACATGGCATAACTTTGATGTGTTGAAATATGTCTTCCAGTTACAAACACATTTTTGATGATGCATTGTGATTAATTTGTTTTCCTACTTTTCAGAATATTTCAGGTTTTCAAACTGAAGCCAAGCTTGTTGGACTGGAGCCAGTCAGCACCTACTCTATCAGCATCTCTGCCTTCACCAAAGTGGGAAATGGCAATCAATTTAGTAATGTACTAAAATTCACAACCCAAGAATCAGGTTAGACACAGCATTTTGAATCACCTAAGATATTTCATTTGTATTTAACCCTTTCCCCTTCCCTTTTTCAGTTTATGTGATAAAGTATTATTTAATAGTTCACTCAAATGGAAGTTGAATTTTAATTCTTTAAAACTAGGCTGGGTCTTGTCTGCTATCAAATACATGTGTTCATATGCATATATTCACACTTTTGTTTTCTTTTTAAACTGAGGAAATTTTAACAAAAGACTAGTTTAGGAACAAAGCAGGATCTATATATCTGTAAAAGTACTTAATTCCTAAGACCACAGCATTCTGTACCCTGATTGGTTAAATAATAGGACATTTTCAACTTTAAGAGTTATAACATCAGCTGGTTAATTCATAGTTTTTAGCTACAGTCAGTGAAATAGATGTTCACAAAATTCAGTTTTGTACATTAACTTTAAGCAAGTTATCAACTGCCTCTTGTTAACATATTTTATGACTATATTGTGATATGTTTTTGAAAAGAAAGAAGCAAATAATTAATGATATTTAATTGCTGGAACCTTGGATTAGATGTGAAATTGTCTTTTCTTTAATGTTAAATTTCACTCATTCTGTAAGTATTCTCCTGTAGTTCTGATGCCTGTATCTTCCAGAGGAAGACAAACGGGTGTGTAAAGACATAAATTTGGATCAGGGGAGAGAGCTGTAAACAAGTCAAATTTACTTGAATATTCTTTCAATAACTGTGATTTACATAATGACAGCTAGTTGGTTCCTTTCACTACTTGTTTGCAATCTATTAACTATCTGTATTCTAATTTTCCTTGTAGCATCCTCTTTTCACTATAATAGGATAAGCTATGCTGACATTAGGGGTCGTCAGGTAATTCAACATTTCCATGGGAACTAACCAGTCTCTCCAGCCTGCCAGTCACTGTGGTGGGCTGGGTATTTATTGCTCTTTAACTATGTCTACCATAAAAAGAGCACTTCTGAAAAAAACGGGGTCACTTCCAAGTGAATTCAGAGAAGTTCTAGGGAAACGTGGACTGATTTAAATCTTCCCTTTGACGATTTTTATAAAAAAAATTAAAAACTAGGACTGATTTAAATCTTCCCTTCAACGATTTTTATAAATGTACTGAAGAATCAGGTCTTCACAATTCTTCCAAGGAGGCCATCTCCATATAAAAGCACCCCCCACCTCAAATTGGTTACATGTCTGCTGGTACTGTTAGGCCCCGATGAGCCATATCAGGGAGGCACCCTATATCTTTGTTTTGCACAAAAAAGTTTTCATAATAAAGTATTGCTAAGACTTCTCCTTCCTGATTAAGAAATAAAGGAGCAGGTTTCAGTGCCTGCCTGAACTTGAAACTATGCAGTTGCCTCTGACTATGCAGTTTTGAGGATGTGATTGCGGCTTTGGCCTAGGAAAATATTAAGTGAATGGTTTAGTATTGTAAGGATTAACAAGAGAGCAGAGAAAATAGACCAACTGCCATTTGTTTTAGCTAAAAGGGGGTCATATGTAAAAAAGGGAACTTTTTGAGCACAAATTGAACCGTTGATATGTTAAATTTTTATTCTGCTGCTACTAGATATGATTTTATTTAGCAATCACATAATTAAATGATGTATCTACTACATGTGTATAAATTTTAACTTTAGGCATTTATCTCTTAAGTTCCAGATGTTGTACAGAACATACGGTGTGAGGCAACTAGCTGGCAGTCCGCTTTAGTGAGGTGGGACCCACCCCAAAAGGCAAATGGAGTGATTACACATTATATGATAACAGTTGAGAGGAATTCTACAAAAGTCTTACCCCAAGATCACATGTATATGTTCATGAAACTTCTTGCCAATACCTCATATGTCTTTAAAATAAGAGCTTCAACCTCAGCGGGTGAAGGCGATGAAAGTACTTGCAATATCAGCACGCTACCTGAAACAGGTAACTAATCTGAAACAGGTAATTTACCTGAAAGAGATAACTAATCAGAAACAGGTAACTATTCATGGATTATGTCATACGTTTGTCAATATCATTATAATCTTTATAGCATGTTTATCTAAAGATATAAAAAAATATTGAAAAGTGCAAAACATACTTTTTTATCACATGTGTTAGCAGAGTACCAGGTATGTTGTATATTGACTCCTCTTTACAACACTGGTAGATCAAAACGGGAAAAAGGAGAGAAAATCTGTTTTACTGTGTCTCCACAAATATCTGTTCCTTACTATCCAAACTCCAAACTTACTAAGTTATGCTTTATTATAATTTAAAATAGGGAATGAATTTGTAAATTTTTGTATTTCTTAATTTATTTTATGGGATTCTAGAATCTTCTCTACTTCCATGGCTGCAGTGTCAGACTCACTTTCATATGATTCCTTCCCTATGCCAGACTTTTTTCTTTATATTATTTGACTAAAAATAATCCAGGTCACTAAGGCCTGGTCTACAAAGGAAACTCATTCTTTCTAACAGTGGTCCATCTTATGTCATGATCTCCTTCATCCTCCAAGTTCTCCAACATGGAACAGACGCATATAGATGAAAACCTGATTTCTTCTTGGTAACACCACTTCCTTGGAGGTCTTCCCTAGTGGAGACTGTGGGTATTGGCATAATTATTTACCTTTGGCACATCCAGATTCTTCATCTTGGAAACATCTTTTAACCCTTCCCTTTTTTTTTTGAAATCAGTGTCACCCAGTTTTACTTCACTTTTCTATCCTTGAGGCTATAAACTGAAGAACTTCAAGGTACGGAGTACCTTCTCCCTGACTTCAGCATCCGATCAGCATTCTTTCCTTCTCATCCTTCAAATGCGACATCTCTTCAGATGCCTTTGTTCTTCCTGTTCAGCTGCAACGGATGCATTTCAACACCTTTTTCTTGATCCTTAGATCTCAAACCATGTAATTGGGACTCATCTTCCAGGAGATTCCCAAATCTGAGAGGATCCCCCTGTTTGTTTTTACCAGATCCTGGCTGATGAGTAATGCCAGGAAAAAAAAAGAAATAGTTCTACCTTGTTCAGCTATACACTCACCTTCTTGAAGTCTCCCAGAGACTTCACAGTCTTCTCTACATCCCTGTGTACACTCCATTAATTGTCCATAGAAAATTTCTGCTCCCGTTCTGACTATATTCTACTCACACCATCATCCATATTTGATATTATCACTCATTTTACTAGTAATATAAAATATATTGATTTGCTCTCCTTAAAATTTTACCCATATCTTCATTTATACTCTCCAGATATTCTCTCAGCAATGTCATTGCCCTCTTATTTTCAGGAATCTAGCTGCTCATTTTTGTTTCAATCTCATGTCTCCCCTAGAACATTATTTAATCAATTTAGTCTCTTCTGCTTTTTATCCCTCCTCCCCTCTTGTGCATGCTTGCACACCTCCTCTCTCTCCCCCCTCTCTCTTTCTTTCTCTTTTTATCTCTATCTCTATCTATCTCTCTGTCTCTCTTGCACACACACACACACACACACACACATACACACACACAGTTAGAAAATTTCAACTGAGGACTAGGTTGATATTCATATTGAAAATGAAATTTATGTTGGATGAATTCTTCTCTATCTTAGTTTTCTATGCCTGTTATTTATAACTAGAGGCCCAGTGCACAAAAATTTGTGCATTCGCGGGGGGGGGGCCCTCAGCCTGGTCTGTGCCCTCTCGCAGTCTGGGACCCCTCGGGGGATGACCACCTGCTGGCTTAGGCCTGCTCCCCGGGGGATTGGGCCTAAGATGGCAATCAGACATCCCTCTGGCAGCCCAGCAGCCCTCGGGGGATGTCCACTTGCCAGCGGGGAGCAGGCCTAAACTGCAGTCGGACATCCTTAGCGCTGCTGAGGAGGC